AATAAACGGCATAGGTATAGAACCTTCTAATGGAGAGGAAGGCAAGGCGATACCAAGTAATGGTAGACTGCTTCAAACTTAGAAAGATAAGGGTGAAATTCATGGTAACCACAAAGAAAGTTAACAAACATACTCATAAAGTACTGAAAAGCAAACACATCACCTTGAAGACTAAGGTGCGCCTGACCTAAGCCATGGTGTTTTCAATCGCCTCATGTGCTTACAAAAGCTGGACGATTGAATAAGGAGAAGAAGAATTGATGCCTTTGAATTATGTTGTTGGTAAAGAATATTGAATATACCATGGACTTCCAAAAGAATGAACAAATCTGTCTTCGAAGAAGAACAACCAGAATGCTCTGTACAAGCAAGGATGGAGAGACTGCCTTTCACATACTTTGGACATGTTATCAGGAGGGATCAGTCCCTGGAGAAGGACATCATGCTTGGTAAAGTAGTAGATCAGTGAAAAAGAGGAAGACTCTCAACGAAATGGATTGACACAGTGGCTGCAACAATGGGCTCAAGCATAACAATGATTGTGAGGATGGCGCAAGACCGGGCAGGGTTTCATTCTGCTGTACATAAGGTTGCTATTAGTCAGAACCGACTCGATGGCACCTAACAACAACTTGGGAAAAATATTGGATGCAGGAAGCATCAAAGAGGATGGAAGGAATATACAGAGTCACCGTACCAAAAAGAATTGGTCAATGTTCAACCATTTTAGGAGGCAGCATATGATCAAGAACCAATGGTACTGAAGGAAGAAGTCCAAACTGCATTGAAGGGAATGATGAAAAACAAGGATCCAGGAATTGACAGAATACCAGTGAGATGTTTCAACAAACAGATGCAACACTGGAAGCACTCAGCTGACTATGCCAAGAAATTTAGAGGACAGCTACATAGCCAACTGACTGGAAGAGATCCATATTTGTGCCCATTCCAAAGAAAGGTGATCCAACAGAATGTGGAAATTACTAAACAATATCGTTAATACCACACACAAGTAAAATTTTGCTGAAGATAATTCAAAAACGGTTGCTGCAGTATATTGACAGGGAACTACCAGAAATTCAAGCTAGATTTAGAAGAGAATGTGGAATGAGGGATATCATTGCTGATGTCAGATGGATCTTGGCTAAAAGCAGGGAATACCAGAAAGGTGTTTACCTGTATTTTATTGACTATGCAAAGGCATTCGACTATGTGGATAATAACAAATTATGAATAACATTGCAAAGAATGGGAATTCCAGAACACTTGTGCTCATAAGGAACCTTTAAATGGACCAAGAGGCAGTCATACTGTGTGGTCTGAAATCAGAAAGGTGTGCGTCAGGGTTCTTTTCTTTCACAATATTTATTAAATCTGTATGCTGAGCAAATAATTCGAGAAGCTGGACTAGATGAAGAAGAACAAGGCATAAAGATTGGAGGAAAACTCATTAACAATTTGCGATATGCAGATGAAACAATCTTACTTGCTGCAAGCAAAGAGGACTTGAAGCACTTACTGATGAAGAGCAAAGAACACAGCCTTCAGTATGGATTACACCTCAACAGAAAGCAAAAATCCTCACAACTGGACCAATAAGCAACATCATGATATACGGAAAAAATATTGAAGCTGTCGAGGATTTTACTTAATTGGATCCACCATCAACGCCCATAGAAGCAGCAGTCAAGAAATCATGCAATACATTGCACTGGGAAACTCTGCTGCAAAATACCTCTTTAAAGTGTTAAAAAGCAAAGATGTCACTTTGAGGACTAAGGTGCTCTGACCCAAGCCTTGGTAATTTCAGTCATCTCATACACGTGTGAAAGCTGGACAATGAACAAGGAAGACCGAAGAAGAATTGAAGCCGTTGAATTATTGTGTTGGTGAAGAATATTGACTATACCATGGATTGCCAGAAGAACAAACAAATTTGTCTTGGAAGAAGTACAGCCAGAATGCTCCTTAGAAGAGAGGATAGTGAGACTTTGTCTTACGTATTTTGGACATGTTTTCAGGAGGGACGAGTCATGGAGAAGGACATCATGCTTTGTAAAGTAGAGGTTCAGCAAAAAATGAGGAAGACCCTCAACGAGATTAACTGACACAATGGCTGCAGCAATGAACTCAAACATAGCTAGGATTGTGACGATGGCGCAGGACGCGGCAGTGTTTTGTTCTATTGTTCACAGGGTGGTTATGAGTCGAAACCAACTTAATGGCACCTAACAACAACATTCTCAAATAAGTACATCATCATTATGAATAACTTTGAGGATTTTTCGTTTTACAAGTGTTTGTCACGGATAATCTCAATCCCCTCCTGCCCCCACCCCCACACTGTTCTTACAATAACAGGTGAAATGATAATCACTTCCCAGCAAGATGACTTCATGGTGTCCCAAACCTTTATCTCATGGTTCAGATTTCCCCTTTGATCATGTTCTCTGACTGTGACAACGACAGGCACTGTCCAGGCAGGAAACAGTTACCCTCCTTTTCAGAGCAGTCTCAGATTCTTAAAAGAAAGTGTATATATATATCGGGATGTAGAGTAAGAAATATCTAGAAAAACAGCGCTGTGTTAGCACAATCAACAGGGAGGAGAAGACTTTTCTGAGGAAACCAGAAGAAGAGCTCTATGGCAGTCCCCCTGCTTTAAGGCACCCCAGTATCCCTCCTTCTGTGCCATGGCCTTGTCTGGGGACAATTTTTTATTGCCCCTAACCCAGCTGAAGATCGTAAAACTGACTCCAAATCTTGATTTTACACGTATTTTAAAAGTAACAAAGAAATAGTTATTACCTCCCAGCCATGAGTGGACGCAGAGCGATATTTGCGGCAGTGTATCCATTTGGTTTTGTAGCTTTGGGGAAAAACTGAGAGAATATGTTTCTAAACCTTTCTGTGATTGTGCAGTCTGCACTCCACGAAATCTGTGTGCAGGTCCTTTAAGAAGATCGAAGCTCCTTCTGTCCTTGGAGCCTGGGGTACCATTTGACTGCAACACTATTTGACTATAGTCCAACTTGCCTTTGCCCAGGAGCCGAGGGCGTGGGCACCTCACGAAGGCCGAGTCGCAGTGAGAACTACAATACCCGGAAATCTATGCGACTCGCGGCGACACTGGACCAATGAAATCCCGGGATGGGGGCTTGTCCGTGCGTGCGGAAGACGTCTGGGTGTGACTTCCGGCATCTTCCTTGCGGCGGACATTTTGTCCGTTCTTGGCTCGCTTTACATCAGCAAATGTTCTGGATCCCTGGGTCGGGTTCGAGGTTAACAGGAGCGGGTAAGTGAGCGAGAAAACTTTGTCCCCCTTGCACAGAGGTGATCACGAGACTTCACGAGTGGTAGGCCTAGAGTGACCTCGCCGCCTTCGGGGCTGGACTGGGGACGGCGGTGCCCGGGTTTCAACCTGACTGCCTGCTTCCCACTGCGGGATATCGTCCACAGGCTCCTATGACGGCGGCCACGGTGATGTACCCTGCGTTCCCCGGGCCCTCATCCGTCCCATTTCCCAACTCCGAATCATCAAGTCCCGAATAAGGGCAACTTGCTCAGGTCAGTGCAGCCCAGGTCCCAGTGTCCAGGGCAGTGAGGCGATCGGTGTGGTCCTCATTTCTGAGAGGGTGTGATGAGGTGTGGGAGACTGTTCCAGGCAGAGGGGCCAGCAAGTGCAAATGGTTGGAGATGCAGTTGATCCAGGAACATTCGGGACACTTGGGCTCCTCGAATGTGAAGGGAGCGGAGAGTGAGGAGTCGTCACACTGGAATGACAGGCTGAGGAGTTGTAGCCATGGAGGGTTTCGGACAGTGGAGGGACACGATCGGATTGGGAATGGTAAAAGTATCTCAGAGTTTGCTCAGAGGAGAACAGGCAAGTGTAGCGGTGCGAATGATAAGTATGGAGGTAGGGAGACCAGTGAGGAGGCTGCTGCAGCAGAGTGCAGGAGTACGGTGGTGGCTGGGCCAGAGCATTGGCAGGCGAGGGGGGAGAAGCGATTTGACCCTAGGTAGATTTTTAAAGATGAAACCAGCAGGATTTCCTGCTGTATCAGATGTAGCTGTGAGTGAAAGTAGGGCCTGAGGAATATCCAAGTTGTTTGGGGCTTTTCTTGTTTCGTTTTTTTTTTCCCTGAACATCGGAAGAATTGGGATGGGTAAATCAGAACAGGGAGCACATTTCAGGGTGAACAGGAGTTGAGTTTTGGACACGGTGATTCATAACTGAAGAGTGTCTCAGGGTGGAGGCATTACCTGGGCAGCCAGACATGCAGGTCTGGAGTCTTGGGGAGGTGGGTGGGTTGGAGACCTCCATAGGATGAGAGATGGTAGTCTGAACCAAGTCAAGACTTGGAGATCAGATTTAGGAGGAGGAATTTTAAGACTTTTTATTTTGTTTAGTCCTTGAGGTGAGAAAGCTGAGGGCTGGAGTTGAAAGGCAGAGAAGAAATGGTGGGTATCTCTGAGACTCCCTCTAGAAGGGAGGACTCCCAAAATATAAAAGGGATCTGGCTGGTGTCTGCAGGAGGACATTTGGAGACTGGCTTGAGGTGGACACTGAAGTCTGGGGTGCTACAGATTTGCCATCCTACAGGCTCAGCAGTCCCTCAGGGGCACTACCTGTGAAGCAAAACAAAGGTCAGCCAGACAGTGGACTAGGCCCAGCTCCAACTAGGGCACCAGTGCTTCATTTCTCGCAGCCCTCACATAAGAAGAGGTGATGAACTTTTCCATTGAAGGAACCTCAATAGGCTCATTTTCACAGGAATAAGTAGCAGGTGGGCTGGATGGGTGAATGGACTGGTGTCCACCTGGCAAGTGTACATAGATTAAAAAAAACCTGTTGTCATCGAGTCGACTCTGACTTATAAAAAGTGTGTAAATATTACGAGTTAAACTTAAATGAACTATTAGTAATTGGATGAAACTTAATATGCTTCTAAGTATTTGATTACATTGTGAAATTTTAAATATGACATTTCCTTAAAAGCATTAAAAGATGGTAAAACACACCCAGATTTCCAAAAACCCATCACCTAAAACATTTGCAAAAGTGTTAAACTTGTGGACAGTAATAGCTGATTCATAGCACTTGACATATACTAATGTGTTTGAAACAAACTAGCGTCCTGTGACGTGGGTACCATTATTATTCCCACTTTACAGATGAGGACACTGAGGCACAGGTCTTCGTCCAAGGTCACACAGTTGGTAGGAGGCAGCACTGAAGTCTGGAGTATCTAAGGTTAGACTAGACAATCTAAAATCATCCTGCCAGGCAGGTCAGGGATTAGGGGACCTCCACCATGGTCATCTGCCACTTCCAGCTTCCCTCTTCCTGCCATGTTCCCATGACAGCAGAAGCACTTATGAACCCTACACAGGTGAGTGCAGAGTGTCCCAGGCCCTCACCTGACCCAACCCCACATCCATGATCTTGGTAACCTGATAAGCAGAATGGTTGTGTCCTGGGAATCTGCACCTACCCTTTTACCTGTCATTGCACCTGGAGATCCTACAGCTACCAAAGGCCCTGTATCCTGAATTCAGTCCTGGGATTATATGGAAGGATTTCCATTTCTGGGAAGCAATGGATGAGGTATGGACCAGTGTCCCAGGCATAGGTGGGAGGCTCATGTGAGGCTGAGCTGAGAGTGTTCAGGAAACCTCAGGTCTCATTTATGTCTGGTGAGGACAAAGAGCGGGGGACAGGAGTCAGCCCTGGAATGGCAGCCTGAGGAGCTGAGCCAGTATTCTGAAAGTGATGGGAGCTGTCGAAAGTTTGGAGCAGAGGAGGGAGTGATCTGACTGTGGTCTTAACAGTCTCTGGCTGCACATTGGGAAATGACCATGCTGATGAGGAGGGAAGAAGGGAAACTAGTGAGGAAGCTCCTGCAACAGTCTAGGTGAATGTTGGTCGTAGCTGGGCTAGGTTGGTAGCTGTGGACGTGAGAGATGTGGTTGGCTCATGGATCTGTTTTTTAAGTAGTACTATCCAGATTTTCGAATTTGGAGAGTGAGAAAGAAGGGAAGGAGTCAAGGATGGATTTTGGCCTTAGGAGGTGTAAGGATGGAAAAGTCAACTGATATGGGGAAGTTGGTGTAGGAGTAATTTTCAGAGGTAATATCAGGAGTTAGGTTTTGGCCATGTTGAGTGTGCAGGGCTCCAAAGACACTCAAGTGGAGGTGTCAGTGGACAGCTGGACACACAGGTCTGGAATTCAGGGGAGGAATTCAGGCTGGAGACATGCACAAAGTGGCAGCCAATGTGTGCACTGGTGTGGAGCTGTGCCTCAGATTTAGAGTGGGAATCTTCATGTCATGATGGCAGTGCCACTAGAAGGCTCCAAACTTTCCAACTGGGTGGGGGTGGCAGGCAATTAAAAGACAAGAGAGAGTAGTGTTGACTCAGTTTCTTAGAGCTGCCATAACAGAAATACCACAAGTAGACGGCTTTAGCAAACAAGTTTATTTTCTCAGTTTGGGAGGCTAGAAGTGTGAAGTCAGGGCATCAGCTCTAGGGGTAGGCTCTGTCTGTGCTAGGGGAAAATCCTTGTCTCTTTCAGCTTCTCTTCCTCAGTTCCTTGGTAATCTCCAGTTGGCGTCAGTCTTTCCCTATTTGTGCTTCCTTGTTTCTGTGCCTAGTCTGCTCTTTTTATATCTCAAAACGTTATTGGCTTAAAATACACCCTACAATGATATGGCTTCATTAGCATAACAAAACCCTATTTCTAAATGGGATTACATCCATAGGTATAGGGGTTAGGATTTACAATACATGATTTTGGAAGACACAGTTCATTCTATAACAGTGCCCATGAAGGGAGGAGAAGAGGAGGGGCCAGCAGGTGGTGGTCTTCCAGGGCGAGAGTGACGTGCCATGGATCGTGAGGCATAGCAGTAATAGAGATGAAATGACAGGCCAGAGCTGGTGGTTAGCCACCCCTCTGTGTGTTCACCAGGCTTTTCTGGGGAACCTACCTTGGGGAGGGGATCTGGGGAGTTTCTATCATGTTGGCGGATTAGCTCAAGAGCAAATTGGGTCAGCTGAGAGTGTCACTAGGCTTGAGATGGGAGGTCAGTGGGTTTAGACTTTGAATGACAGGTGTTGAGAGGAATGCTGTGCCTGTGAGGGATACAGCATGTGCAACAGAGAAGTGGAAGCCAGCTGAATTCTGCACATGGTTCTGGATGGCTGAAGTTGAAGCATTGAAGCAAGGAATGGGGCCAGGAAGGGAGAACTTAAAAAGTTCAGTTCAGGGCTATCCATGTCAGTGGGGATCATCGCCTGGGGCCAGATGTGATACTGGTTGCATTAGCAACATATTCTCTGGATGCTGTGTGCAAAGTAGCGTGTGGGGAGGCCAGGGAGGTACCTGTGATGTGGGTGTCCGTAGATGTAAGGGGTGGTATGGCTTACAGAGTGACATTCACATGGAGATGAGTGTGAATTCATGGTTCCAGGGCCGTGGTACTTAGTGTTTCAGAGATAACTGAGAAGTTCAAGTTTTTTGCATCTAAGAAGCATGATCTGGGGACTCGAAGGGATTGGCTGGCAGGAGAGGGGTGGGGCCCTGCATGCCAGCCCAGAGCTTATATGGTGTCTATCTGTGCACCTGGCTGTTGTTCTGGGCTGGAAAAATGATCGATGGGATATGAGGAGAGAGTGGGCACCCGTCACCCAGGGTCTGGTACCTCCTCTGAGGTGTGAATTTAGGGAGGAAACTGAGCAGGGGGTAGGTATGTGGAGGGTCCTGGAGAGAGAGGTTGTCCTTGGGCTCAGCTGTCCGCTTTATGGCAGGGCCATGTGACCTTTGAGAACGTGCTCATGCACTTCTCCCAGGAGGAATAGGGGCTCTTTGAGGAGGCTTAGAGGCTGCTGTATCAGGATGTGATGCTGGAGAACTTTGCACTCATGGCCTTGTTAACGTCATCACAAAACCCAGTTACCTGGGCTGGGCATTGTCCCTCCCCTTTTCCCAATGAGCCTCTCTCCCCTTCCCACAGGTGAACCATAGCCACTGCTTCTTTCCCCAGCACCCTCACAGAAGTCCTCTGGGTGCCAGACTTGGCTGTGCACTGCCTCATGTGCTCTCCAGACTTCCTAGCTCTTGCTGCCTTGAAATGAAGCCTTGTTGGGAAGGGGTCAGAAGTCCTGCTATCACCCAACAGATTACACTCTGCTCGGCCGGCCATTTGTGACTCTGTCCATATCCATTTCACCTCTGTGCCCCAGGTTCTGCCCCTTTTTCTAGCTAACGTCTCCTCGCACCTGCCTGTGCCATGAATTGCAGTGACGGCCTTTGCTTGAGAGACCCATTGGGATTCCTGCATGACACATTCCTGAGATCCTTTTTATAACATTTCATTTTCTTATGATCTCTTACGGGTGGGTTGCTCTGGGCCAGTGCTTTCCACTCCCCTGCCTCATGTTTCCCCTAGGACTTGTATCTTCCCAGTCCTCTGTGGTTCCTGAACTAGAGCAAGGGGTAGAGCCCTGGGTGCCTCATGGGAAGGGCATGACTCCAGCCACAGCAAGGGACTTGGACAAACCTGACCCTGGTGAGTGAAAGGTAGAGAAGATTATGACTTCAGTGCTGGGATCAAATAGTACCAGGAACTTGCTCTGTGCCCACCAGTAGCCATACCTCATTTCTTTCTTTCCTCCGCATTCCTGACACTTGTCATCTGTACTCTGACCCAAGATTATTCTCCACCTCTCTGTACTCTACCACTTGCTGTCTTCTTTACTGCTCTCTCACCAGTCCTCTCCAATGTTGGACTCCACTAATATGTCATGAGATGTCGTTGAACACCAGCTTCTCACTTCTAATTGCATTTTCCCGGGCCTGGACACATAAGCTTGTGCATAGCACTCACTTGTCACCAGCAGCCAGGGCCCTGCTGAAAGTTGTTTGCAGAGGAGTAGGTTGGAGACCTTACTTCTCCTCCCTGTGCTAACTTCATCCCTGTGTCTTTGTCCCTCATGAGGCCTACCCCATTCTGTGACCTTTAGAGCCCAGTTCTGCACAGTAGCCCTTTCTTCAGCCTGACCCCAGCTCCATTCTGCCAGCAACCTGGTAGAGTCAATCCTGGGTTTCCAGGCACACATTTGTGATGGGGCTGCCCCCTTCCACCAGTGTTAACATGCACTTCACTAGCATTTATCTGCTTTCAGGCTGTTGGCATGGACCAAAGGATGCAGGGGCACCTTCTGACAAGAGTGCTTCTGTAGGAGTGTCACAGGCTAGTGCTCCCTAAGCAGGTTTGTCCACCCAGACGATCCACCCTTGTGACATATGTGTTCCCATCTTGAAAGACATTTTGCACCTGGCTGAGCACGAGGGGCCACACCATGAACTGAAACCTTACACCTGTGGGGCATGTGGGAGACAGTTCTGGTTCCATACAGACCTTCACTGCCGCTTGAAGCAGTGCAATGTAGAGAAACCTTTCTGAAGGAATGAAGGCAGAGCCTCGTTTGTGAAGAACTGCAGAGTTTATGAAGAATTTCACCAGTCAGAGAAGTGCTCTACAGTGAGGAGGAGTGGAAGAATTTCCAGGCCAGCTCAAGCAGTCACCAGCAAAAGGTCACCCACAACAAGAGGAAGACACGCAGGAACACCAAGGGTGGGGAAGTCTTTCATACTGGACAAATGGATTACAAGTGCAGCGACTGTGGGAAAGTCTTCAGCCGTAAAGATACATTTATTCAGCACCAGCGAATCCACACTGGAGAAAGGCCTTATGAGTGCAGTGAATGTGGGAAAGCATTCAGCCGCAAAGACAATCTTGTTCAGCACAAGAGAATTCACACTGGAGAAATGCCTTATAAGTGCAGCGAATGTGGGAGATACTTTAGTCATCACTCCAATCTTACCGTACACCAGAGAGTTCACACAGGTGCAAGGCCTTATGAGTGCAATGAATGTGGGAAAGTCTTCAAACACAAATCCTCACTTGTTCAGCATGAGAGTACCCACACTGGAGAAAGTCCTTATGGTTGCAGTGAATGTGGGAAATCCTTTAGTCACAAGTACATTCTCATTAAACATCAGAAAATTCACACTGAGATAAGACCTTACGAGTGCATTGAATGTGGAAAACTATTTAGTCAAAGTTCTGACCTTATGGCACACCAGAGAGTTCACACTGGTGAAAGGCCTTTTGTGTGCAGTGAATGTGGGAAAGACTTCATCAGAAGTTCCCACCTTGTTCGGCATAAGAGAGTTCATACTGGAGAAAGGCCATATGAGTGCAGTGAATGTGGGAAGACCTACAGCTTAAGCTCCCACCTCATTCGGCACCAGAAAGTTCACACTGTAGGAGGGCTTTAGGAATGGCGGAATATGCACTTATTTATCTTGTTTAAGACAACAGGACTCACAGAGGAGCTCTGTGGCTAGCCTTTGGGAGGGAGCCAGCAGTCAGATGTTAAACCTCATATATCTGAACATATATACTGGCAAGGCACTTTATGAGTGCCAAGTACGTGGGAAGCTTTCAGAAACTATGTTGCACTTTGTAGTCTGCTCAGGTTCCTTATCAAAGTATGTCACTACCAATGCCTGTGGCTGGAAACATATCAACCCTACCGTCTATCGGGACCTTAGTCACCCCACCATCCTTAGGGAAGGCAGATGTCTGTACTTTTCTCTCCATACACTGGATTGAATCATGAGAATCCTGGGTTCTATGGGGTCCTCATTTCCTCCCCTCCAACTGGTGTAGGTGTGGACATGACCCATCTTTGGCCAAAAGAACCTGAGCTGTGTTCTGCTGGTGGTTTGCAGAGAAGGTTTACTTTCTTCATGAATATCATTGCTCTCACTTCATGCATGTGATGAATTTTTCCAGCCTCTGAATTGCCCAACCCAGAGACTTTTTGCCTTACATTGCCCTTGTGTGTGCAGTAATAAAGACCTTACTGTTCATGCCACCTGTAATCTTGGGGATTCTTTTCACTCTCTGAGGTGATTTGAGAACAGAATTAGGCTTGAGACCTTTAACTTTGTGTATCTCAGAAGATATGGCAGGTTGGCAGAGAACCGTTTTCAGTCCAGTTTTGTTAATTTCTATTGCTGCCAAAAGCTTCTTAGGTAAGCGTGTATGGCATTGTGGGCCTCATCTTGCTTGGCTTTCAGAGTTATCTTAAGGCCCAGACATCACCTTGAGGAGGGGCCAGTTTTTGTGACAACCTCCAGTGTTTGGGAGCAGCATGAATGGGATCTTTTATTTCCAGCAGGGCTTCAAACCAGAATGGAACTGAAACTGAAAAAAACCCCAAAATTTTCACCAGAGTGAAACCAAAACCTGAATCCAAAAAAAAGGGTTTTTTCAACCCAAACTGAGACCCAAAACCATTATTTTTTTGCTCCACTGTTTTCGATTCAATGATAATTTTTAAGTTGTAAACAAGACCATTGGACTATTTGCATTTGGCACCCATGTATGCAGAATGCTTCTCTGGCACATGGCTGGTAAAGGCACAGTTCAAGCAGTGTTGTGCAGCTGCAGCTATAGGTGATGTTTGCTGTTATGCAAGGTTATTCACAGGCAAGTCCGAGTTCGCTACTTCGTTCCATGCTTGACTTCTCACAGTAATGCAAGTTGTGCCTACCAAAGATGTGGGAAACGCTTAGCGATTGAGAACACTCGTGGTCAGAAATCTGAAAGAGCTAGTTAAACTGCATCGAGTTGTAAACAGAGTTCCATGTGAATGAAAATTGTCAGGTGAGTGTAAACATTTTAAATGTACATTTTTCACATTTTTTAAGTATATTTAAATTCAAGAAATAGAAAATAGTGTATAATTTTTTGATGATTCCATTCTTACTCAGTTTAGATTTAAATGTACTATTACACATTGTACTTACATGTTTCGATTTGATATATATTTTACAAATTGAAATGTTAACAAACATCACCAACTAGCAGGAAGAAAATGTTTCAGTTTTGATATACCATTATTTCACTGAAAACAGCTTGATGGCATCACTGTGAAATGAGGTTTTTCAAGGGCCTGGATAAATGCACGAGAATGTTGTAAAGTGGGACTTCAGATGGAAGAAATCGACAAACCCTGCAAATGTAAAATTGAAGTTATTCTGGTTTTTCTAATATACTCAAGATATGTGGCTAGAAGCATTTTAATATGTATATGAATATGGTTCCAATTCATTTTTATAAATGTATTTATGTATTTTATTCTCTTTACATTATCAAAGTCTAAGACTTGTTTTTATTGTAATGTAACACTGACTATAAAATAATACCTTTCTTGTTGTTAGGTGCCATTAAGTTGGTTCTGACTCATAGTGACTCCATGCACAACAGAACAAAACACTGCTTGGTCCTGCGCCATCCTCACAATCGTTGCTATGTTTGAACTTGCTGCAGTCACTGTGGCGATCCATCCCATTGAGAGTCTTCCTCTTTTCCGCTGACCCTCTACCAAGCATGAAGCCCTTGTCTAGGAACTGGTCAGTCCCCATAACATGTCCAAATTAAGTGAGATGAAGTCTCACTATCCTTGCTTCTAAAGAATATTCTGGCTGTACTTCTTCCAGAGCCGTAGTAGTGCAGTGGTTAAGACCTCCGCTGCTAACCAAAAGGTTGGCAGTTGGAATCCACCAGCTATTCCTTGTAAACCCTATGGGGCAGTTCTGCTCTGTCCTGTAGGGTTGCTATGAGTTTGAATCGACTCAGTAGCAATGAGTTTGGTTTTTGGTACTTATTTTGAGACAGATTTGTTCTTCTGGCAGTCGATGGTATATATTATATTCTTCACAACACCGTAATTCAAATGCATCAATTCTTTTTCAGTCTTCCTTATTCATTGTCCAGCTTTTGCATGCATATGAGGCGATTGTAAATACTATGGCTTGAGTTAGGCACACCTTAGTCTTCAAGGTAACATCTTTGCTTTTTTACACTTTAAAGAGGTCTTCTGCAGCAGATTTGCCCGATGCAACACGTTTGATTTCTTGACTGCTGCTTCTGTGGGCATTGATTGCAGATCCAAGTAGAATGAAATCCTTGACAGCTTCAATATTTTCTCCATTTATCATGATGTTGCTTATTGGTCCAGTTGTGAGGATTTTTGTTTTCTTTATGTTAAAATATGCCCTGATGTTAATATTATTTCTTATCCCTTGTAGTATGGGACGAACCAGAGACAATCCATGTTGAGAATTTTTCAAATATGAAAAGATTGAAAATAAAAGCATGTGTAAAATTTGCAACACAGATATGGTTGGAGACCGTGTAGAGAATTTAGAGAGGCACCTGAAGCATCACCATACAGATGAATACAATGTAGTGCAAAGCAAGATGACAAAGAAGATTGAAGAAAGTGTCAGAAGTGTTCCGTATAAGCAACATGCCCCGAAGACCACAATCCGGTACATAGGTCACTGGCTGTAGGAGCTACAGCATCCAGAAAGGAAATAAAATTGGTACAGAAACACTAGGGGGTGAGATACTGCGGGAGACCGCAGCAAACTAGAGAGAATGTGCCCATTGTAAAAGCACATCCACAAACATTCCAGTCACTATGGCTGAATGGGACAAGAGTGTACAGAAATTTTCAGGCTCTTTAGAGATGTGTCATGGCCAGCATAACTGGCAGAGCAGAGAATGTAAAAGTTTCCTGGATTCCTGGGGTCTTTGCTGCACAGGCCAGAACCCTAGGACTGAGAGAAGAAAGCTCTTGTAGTCCAGGGATGTAGCTTTGGTGACCCAGTCAGAGTTCCTGATGACTCAGTGCTCACCAGATTTTCCTACCACTGAGGAAGAGGTGCCCTTCCCAGGGCAAGAGCTGTGAGATAGTGGAGTCACCATATGGTTTTCCCAATCTTCTGGGTTTCCAATAGAAGAGGGAAATACAAGTTTTTATGTGGAGTCATTTTTTATAAGAGCTAGGGCTGCTAACCAAAAGGTTGGTGGTTTGAATTCTCCAGCATCTCCTTGGAAACCCTATGGGGCAGTTCTACTCTGTCCTATGGGGTTGTGTTGAGTTGGAATCAACTTGATGGCAATGGTTTTTTTATTGAGGTGTAATCAACATGGAATAGCCTGCACATATTAGAAGTGTATAATTCAGTAAATAGATTTTGGGGTATGTGTACACCTGTGAAACCATTACCCTAGCCATGACAACGAACATATCCATCAGTCCCAGATTTACTGTGTATCTCTTCATAATCCCTCTTTCCCTGCCCTTCCAACCGCTTCCCTGAGCAACCGTTGCTTTACTTTGACCGTAGATAAATTTGCATTTTCTAGAATTATATAAGTGAAAGCATGAAGTGTTTACTTTTTTTGGTCTGCTGTCACACGGAATTATTTTGAGATCCATCTATGTTGTGTATATGAAAGCTGATTCTCTATTGCTGAGCCGTATTGTGTAAGGAGCCCTGGTGGCACAGTGGTTAAGTGCTCACCTGCTAACGGAAAGGTTGGCAGTTCAAACACACCCAGCTGCTCTGCAGGAGAAAGACCTGGTGATCCGCTCCCAGAAAGATTACAGCCAAGAAAACCCTATGGGGCAGTTCTACTCTGTCATACGGGGTTGCTATGAGTTTAAAATGTACTTAATGGCCACTAACAACCACAACAAAAACATTCTGTTGTGTGGACTGAATGTTCTGCATTCTGTAGGCCCCCAGATAGACTGAGGCTCTTTGGGCAGGAAAGGCAAATCCATGGACTAGGCATCTGTCCCCCTAAGGATGAACTGCTGGCCATCCTAGGATGGAGGTCCCAGTGAAGTAGACTTGCCTCCAAATGTCCAATTGGATCTTCTTGAGGAATATTGGCACCTCAGAGGCTCAGCATTGTTCTGTTGTAGCCTCCTGTGTGGTGGCTGGCCCTGCCACTGGTATACTCGCTACTGCTGCTTCAACACCCATGGCAGTCTGCTGCTTCTGCCTCAGTGCCACCTCAGAACCTCCTGCAACATCCACCTGCTGCTAGATCCCCTTTCTGCATAATCTCACTCCTCCACCTGTCCGTCCTGTGGGGCAACTCCACACCCTGTTTTGCCTTCCTGAGCCACTGGCACTTGATGTCCCTCTCTGAACTCAACCTACTGCCGATGGCCCAATGCCCCATAACCTGGCGCCTCAACTTTTCAGCAGTGCGCTTGCCTACAAGCCCTGTCCTGAGGTCACCGCCTCTCCCTGCCTCAACGAATGGTCCATTCAAGCTGCCCTGCTGAAATACTGTCTAGTCCCCTTTGAAAAGTGGCCTCAGGCAGCACCTTTCACTTTCCCCACTGGGGAAGGATTTCTCTGTCATCTGGGCACACTGTCGATACTGCCCCAAACTTGGCCCTCTCACCTAGGGGGAGAGTTAGGTGTACAGGTAGTCCCTGACTTAAACAACTTATGCAAGTTAGGATGAACTGCACTTATGACTGTCCCATTTTGGTTTTTTGTACATCTTATCGTTAGTAATATGTACTACATACAATCTTGCAGCACATAATATGCTGATGTTATTCTGAAATTTTCACTTGCAGATGTTTAATTTTATGATTTACTGATTGGATTTATAGATACTTATAATAAAAGGCAATAATAATGAAAACTAAAAAAAAAAAAAAAATAGGTGTTCGACTTACCTCAGAACTGCTTTATGACGGATTCGTCGGAACAAAACCCTTTCGTAAGTCGGGGACTACCCGTAGTTGTGTTTGCTAGCTTGCATCTTAGATGGTGCCTTAGCATCCATGTTGGGCCCCTTCCTTGCTGTGTAAGCTGGTGCACCACACCGCACTGCAGTTTGTTGCCCCAGATAACCGTGGTTTTCCACTTCTCAGCTCCCCACAGCTGCCCCACTGATGTTCCATAGCCACTCTCCCTTAGTTCCTGCTCTTTAGTTTCATAAGGACCAGTGGTCACCCAACAAAAATACCCCCACACCCCTAATTACCCCAGACCCTAATAAAGGCTGTGCCCCAGGTCCATGCTCTCCACCCATGACCTCCCAACGTGTGCTGAGACCTACGGGCTTGCTGTGTACCCCCAAGGGCCTGTGAGTAATAAAGTTATTTATTTCCATTTTTGTGTCTTGTGATTAAAGAGGACTCTCCATCTGGGACAATATACATAACCTGGGCTGTGGGAGATCGCTCCCTGTCCCCCACCTCTCAGGGTGACAGCTGAGTTGAAATCACACTCAGGACACTAGGCCATGATCTTGCTTTCCAGCTCCCTTTTAAGAAATCAGTATCATCTGGTAGACCAAAAACCTTCACCTTCAGGAAGGTATTCCCAGCCCAAACTGCCACGTAGGGGATCCAGCCTCTGGTTGCACTTTTCCCTACCAATCACCCGGCAGGGTCTCCTTCACAAGTCACTGCCCGTCACACTTCCATGGAGTCTCTTGGAGCTTCCTTTCTTCTAGCTCATGTTTCCTGCCATCCCTTCACATAGGTAAGGCGCATCTCTCTCCTCCTGGGTCCCATGTCCCTCTTTTACCTTTCCCTGTTTATCCCGTCCCTCTCCACACCGTTCCTTCGCAGGCCTCCTTCACTATTATTTGAAAGGGTATTTCCTATTGTTCAGAATGGCGTCTTTCATTCTTCTGAATTCACTCAAGGGCGTTCTGGTTAGTGATTTCTCCCATGTAGCCGAGCCAAACGAAATCACGAGAGGTAGAAGGAAATGTCAAAGGACAACAGGACAGAAAAAGCAAAAAATCACGAGGCAGGGGCTGAGGAAAACTGCTGGTCTAGGTTGCGGCGTAAGCATTACAACTGAAGTGAGGGCCCATCGTGACTCATGGGGCCAATAGGGTCTTTTCTAGGGGCCATTTAGGATCAAGTATCAGGGAAAAGAAGCTTATAGAAATCCAGATCTCTCAAGGAACCAAGTTCCAAGAAGAAACAACCAGACTAGTGTTACGGTTAGTCTCTAGA